CCTACCTCAGCCTCCAGAGTAGTTGTGATTATAGGTGTGTACCACCATACCTAGCTAATTTTTGTATTTTTAGTAGAGATGAGGTTTCACCATGTTGGCCACACTAGTCTCAAACTAACTCAAGGTGATCTGCCAGCTTCGGCCTCCCAAAGTGCTGGGATTACAGGTGTGAGCCACCGCATCCGGCCCCCAAGGAAGCAATTTAGAAAGGAAAGAATCATAACAACAGACTCCACTGTAAGAATATTTTTGCATGTCCTCTAAGGAGGAGTAAGATAGAGAATGTAACGCACATTTCAGCTACTGTGCTATGCCATGATCACCGCGTCCATTTCCAGGCCCTGATTTTTCCTTCAGCATACCTTTTTCTTCCCCATTCTTGCAGTATTAGAGATTGTATCTTGCATCCTTTCGCCTGCTCCTACTGTCATTTCTACCTTTCTGCTTTTCTTCCTACTTTCTGCCCAAGCCATTTTCATTAGTTCTAATGCCAAGAACAAAATAGTTGTCATCGACTCTGTCATTGCCTATCACTACTCCTTATTTCCCTCGCCTACAACGTCTGTTTGCCATGGTACAGCTCCAAAATCTCCCACATATTTTATTTCATTTTATCTTCAAAATGTAAGGTGTGTAAGGCAGAACGCAAAATTTATATCTCATAAACTATAAACTCAGCATCATGTAGTATAAGTAATGTGTTTGCCTACATTTTCAAAACTCATCAGAATGGAGACTAAAATTCAGGAATGTATAATTCTTAGTTCAGTGTTTTGTGAAGCAGATTTGTACAACAGAAAACATGGGTTTCAAAACAGGTAGTCCTGAGATTTGAATTCTAGTCCCATTGCTAATAGTGTGCTGTGATATCCTGGATTAGTTACTTAACCTTTCTAAGCTAAAATCTCAAAACCCAGGGAAGATTTCAGACAATCAGTAGAAAAACCTCCTAGAAAGAAATGGAAATATATCTAGTTTCAGTTCATTATTCGGATTCAGATGGGCATCTTAAATCCTGAATCTCAGGGAGAATAAAAGCAATTATAACAAGGCAAAATAAAATAGGCTCTTTATACTCAGGTGGGGAACTGCCAAAAAGCACCTCATACATTTTTAAACGTTCACCATTACTATTCTAAACACTCTTTTGTTATAAGCACCTAGGAATTCTTTCTAGGTTAGAGATTTTCTTTAAGGGACTATGCCCTTTGTGGCTTCAGCAGGCTTCCATACTACTTGTGGGCCTCAGCTTCCCTGGTGGGGTGAGACCAAGACTCCCAACCTCACGCTTCAGAGCCTGTCACCAGATTTTCACGTTTCAACCGTATGCCTTTCTTGGGTGGTCTCCAATTTAGAGCTTTTCCTACCATTGTCCATAATGCTTTTCAATTCCCATTCTTTTCCTGCATCATGATACATACATCCTCACTTTCTTCAAACTGCTCCATGCAGCCTTCAGCTTTACCTGCTGAACGTTATGCTGGACACTTTAGTAAAGCACTTGCGATGTATCACCTCATTTAATCCTCAACAACCCTGTAATGAATATATTATTATTCCCATTATACAGGCAAGGAAACCAAGGTCAAGAGTCAGGTACTGGTGACTTGTCCTGATAACAACATTTAGGAAGTGATGCCTGAATCCAGCTTGGACTCTAAATTCTGATTTTTTAATAGCCCTATGCTGCTAGTCCCCACGCTTCTTTCCACCATAGTATAAAGCTCATTTCCTCTTTGAGAAAGCAGAGGGCTAATTAATGTTTTTACTGATTAATTGGCATATGCGAAAAAGTGAGCACATGCTAACTGACCAGGTGCTGAACTGCCAAACTGTGTCTGTGCTGTCGTCAAAAGTCTTGGGAACAAAGCTGTCTTTCCCGCATCAAAAACTTCTTGAATACAAATTTTATCCCTGTAATGCAATCTTCCAAAAGAGCACTTACTAAGTGGGTTTCATTGGAAATAAACTAACAACAAAAACCTAAGTTAAAACAGTCTGAAAATTACCTGTCTCTGAGAAGGGGAGAGCAAAATAGTTATTGATCATTCTTCAGACGATTACTATAAGCCTTCAATGGCGCCAAGCACAACGTCTTAGACTTTCCGCATCAGTTCCACTTTCAAATGTTTTGTCCTATTCCCCTGTTGATTAATGCTTGCCCAACTGTGTGTCCCAATTCTGTTTGTGAAATATGGTTATGGAACTTAAAAATAAATTTCTATTAAAAAAAAAAAAACTGCCCTGAGGCGTTTTATTTTTGAAACTTGTCCCAAAGGCTTTTTTCTCTGAGATCTGGGTACTCTTTTTATTTGCCTTCATGCAAATCCGTGAAGCCTCCAAACATTCCTCTGCATGGCTGCTGGGAAGTTTGCTACTGACACTCTCTGTCCAGGAAGCTCCTGCCACCACCCATTCAGCATCAAACCAACTTTCCAGGATCTCCATTATTAGAACCTTTTTCTTTCTTCTTTTCCCTCTTGCTGCTTAGAAACCATTCTTTTCAGGTCAAAAGTCAGATATTTAGGCTATTTTAGAAAAGCATCTAAAAGTCATTGCCCACTTCCTTACTTGGTGTAGAGAAAGACATGATGGAATATTTGGGTGTGGTAGCAATGAAGGCAGGAGCAAGGGGAAAGAAAGCGACCAGAGAAGACCTCATTATAGTGACCTAGAAGAATTCCCTTTACTGGTATCAGTTCTCCTATTCACTCCTAGAAGGCCATAGCCAATGGGTCCTCTGTGAAACTGTGCTACACTCAAGGACTCCACCATTTCATACCCTTGTTACGTTCTCTTATAGTTAGATTCCAGTATTGCCCGACTCTGAATCACGTAATAGATCACTTTCAGTCAGAAGATATCCCCCACAATGCTATATAACAAGGGAGAAAGTGAAGGACAGTGAGATATACAAGACGATAACCAGTCATTTCCTTGAGAGGCAAGAGAGCACACAGCCTTTGGAGCTAGCAACCAATGTTAAAATCCTGGCTTCCACTTATGAGCAATAGCATTTTGGATATGTTATTTAACCTCTCTGAGTGTCAGTTTCCCCATCTGTAAGATAAAGATGAAACAATACCACTTAGGTCACTAGGTAGTTAAGAGTATTAAATAAAATAGTGCATACAAAGCACTAAGCTCCTAGCATATGGGGAACGTTCTCAAAGCCCCTAGGATACATCAGTGAACAAAAAGAGTTCAGTCTCTCTGCATCTTACTTCATATTTGAACATTGATGTTGTGGATTTGTAAAAGGTACCAGAGAGAAGCCATCAGCTAGTTAAGCATAACCTTTTCTACTTGGGAGAAATAATATAGGTTGCACAATAGCCCACATGAGAAAAAAAAAAAAACATTTTTACCTATTGTGCTCTCAAAGTAAGTATGCACTTATCAGATAATTTTAAAAATTGCTTTTATCCATATCAGAATTCTTTTGATGCAAAATTGTGCCCTCAAATTGCCACTGTTAAAGCAACATTTTCTAAGGACAGTCACGTTTAAAGAAAAATCTACCTGAAATACAACTCAGTAGGTTATGCCAGTCAGTCTATATTTCCCATTTTGCTTATTTTTCCCACTTCCCTTAGCATGGGGTCTTTGTGATACTGCCTGTTTTCTAACAGCTGTACCTGCACCCACGTAAATGGAAGAATATATTTCTCATATGATACTGGAATGTCTTTACTCAACACTTTCAACTTGACCTTTCCTAGACTGCAGGGAAGCTCTGAAGCAGAAGCTAGTCAACTCTGCCTGCTGCCGACAGATGGCGGTAGTGGTCGTGCAAGGTTCTTTCAGTCTCGGCCAAGTCGCTCCGCTTCAGTGGTTCTCAACTAGCCAGGTAGCATGCTTGTGGTGTCTGTGCTAGGTTTTAAGGTGTTTATAATTATTAACCTGAAAACATGTCTTCTAAGTACAAAACTAAAGGCAGTTTTGACCGTGGTGATAAAAAGTATAAGATGACAATGACAACTGTAAAAACCCAAAGTGATGAAAAATGGTAAACATAGCATTTGTGGTGAAACGAATTATTTTAAGACATGAATGGCTGCAATGCACAGTGCATATGCACTAAGCACTGTATCTAAGCAATGAACAACAATCAATAAAGCAAGGAAAATAACTGAGTAACTGATAATATGTAAAAACCAAACAACCCAAACCAGAATAAAACACTTTTTTATGCAGTTAGAAATTAAGCCCCAATGTCAAGTGACAATTAGTCATATGACAATCAACCTAACATGAATGCAGGAGAGGCTAGGATTTACTGGAGACTTTAGAGCAAGGGTTGTCTGTCAATCTTAACTGCACTCTAGAATCACCTGAGGAGCTTTTACAAAACCTGAAGCCCAGGCCAATAATCAGAATCCCTAAGCGTGGGACTCAGGCATCAGCAGTGTTGAAAGCTCTTCAGGTGATTCGGATGTGCATCCAAGATAAAGAAACATTGCCTTCAAATCTAAACATGGGGAAAATGAGGTTGCTATAGGTTCCATGGATTAAAATCTATTTGGATGTGCAGATCAATGTATGTGATAAGCATTAATTCCTTGGCAAAAAATTATTTCCCTATAACATTTGTATCTTCAAGGAGAGAGATCAGCTGCCTTGAGAGATTTTTCTTTTCATAGTCTTGAAAACAGTATGGGGGAGAACATGTATTGCCAAAGAATAACAGAGTATGCCTTCCATATACCTATTTGAAGAAAATGTATCCTAGAGCTACAAGCGTCAACATCCCTTAGTCATTTCAGTGAGTACATTTACAAACAACTGGACACATAAACCTATTCAAAATGATAGGAGCTTCTAGACACCAGTACCTTTTCCTCATTTCACCTTTAAAAGATTAATCGTTGGCCTACCCACACTCTCAATGCAATCTGGTTACCTTTCATCATTAACGACCAAGTTTTATAGGAAAACAAATGCATGGTTTAGTCCTCAGTACAAACCCCCAAGCCCTTCTCACTGCAGCCCCTTTTTACCTTGTCTGCCATTATCATAGAGGAGCCTCCGTGGATGCCCAGGATGGGGGTGAGAGTCTGTGCTGAAATGAAATCGAGGATCTGGGCGATGGCTTCCTGGTCTGTGTCATCAGCAAACACCACCCCCTGGATCTTCCTGTCAGACATGAGATCACAAATGCGGGTGATGATGCTCTTTGGGTCGGTCTCATTCATGGCTACCAGCTCCACCCGGGGCACCACGGAGAGATGGTGGAAATCATCTTTCTCGTGGGCATCCTTGATGGCCACCTCGTCGGAAGTGCCCACGAGGATGACAGCAATGCCAATGCTGGGGGGGCTCTTCTGAGAACGAGCTCTGCTGCCTGACACGGCCAGGACAGCCAACACCAACCAGAACTTGGGAGAACAGCACTCTGCTCTGGGCTTCATCTTCAACTCGTCGACTCCCTGCAAACACAAAGAGACAGGGTGTTAACATAGGACCCACACCACGTAACCTGTCTTAGAAGAGGCTAGATACTGCAATTCAAGGACCCTATTTCCTTTCATTGAGCACCAAACCCAACTCCATCTACCAGCCTACTCTCTTATCTCTGGTTTTGCCCTGCAGAATGAGAGAAAAAGAAACTTTCAAAAGCCTCAGAAATCTGTGAGCAAGGCAATAAAAAGTGCTATTGCTATAGTCATTGGCAGCTAGAGACAGAGAAGAGGAAAAAAGGGATGCGAGTGGTCCAGGTGGCCAGGCGAGTCCACATACACGAGTCTCCGGGCACTTGCTGTTGCTGCAGGACTCCTGGCCCTCCTGTTGCAGCCACCCTTGAACTGTTCTTGGGCTGAGGGATGGCAACGCCAGGCCAAGTGAGCAGAAAAACATGCTCAGCAGAGGTGAGCAACAGAACATGGGCTGGGCAAACTGGATGTCGGGGGCAATAGGTACACAAGCCCTGCATTCTTGCTGCCTCATCTTACGTTTGCCTCAACGAGGTCAATGGCCAGAAAATTCTTTAGTAACACTGTTAATATCTGGCTCTTAATACTAAATTGCAAAAACAACTGATACATGACTAGTATTTTTAAATCATTGTCTCAATTGATCCTTACAATAACCCAGCAGGGAATAAAATAAGAAAAACATTATTATCCCCATTTTACAAATGTGGAAGCCAAGCCTCAAAGGAGCTAAGTGTTCTAAGACCATGAACCAATGAATTAAGTGAAATAAACCTGAACCCAGATCTTCTGACTTTTGTATTCCAATTTGTGTTCCATTACACTACATGGAACTACCTCTCAGATTACCAGTTCTTATAAGGAATACATATTACTCCAGTCTGTTTATGCACCAAAATACAGAAACTTAAACAAATACTATTAGCAGCTGAAGTAATGTCAGAGCCACATTTGAAAAATGTCTTTGTGACGCCATCCTGTAGCCGTGACTTCCCTAAAATGACTGATACCATCTTTTCATATAATTTATCAGCTTTTACCTACAAAGAACTCCTTCCTCTTTACTTCCACACATGACTCAAAATCTTACTTTATGCACCAGACTAAGGACACAACGTTCTGCAGAATCTAAGCCGTGGTCATCTTTCTTTATGCTTCTCCTCATTCTCTAAGAGCTCCTCTTATTTTAATATAACTAGTTCGCTTATGTTGCTTTATTTTAAATAATCAATGCTCACTATTCAGATGATGGCTACACTAAAGAGCCCAGCTTCACCACTATACAATATATCCATGTAACAAAAGCACACATGTACTTCATGTACTTTCGAATCCATAATTAAAAATTTAAAAAAATTATTTTACATCTTTTATATGCTGTACACTGTTAGACATTTCCTCATATATAATCTCTGATATTCATGGACACCCTATAAATTAGACATTTCCATTTCTCAAATAGAAAAACAGAAGCTCAACACAGTTATGTAATTATCCAAGGTCAATGGCATTATAACACCAGCATGCCAATACATAAACACAGCATTTTAATACTCCAAGGAAATATTCTACAAATTGTGCCCAGAACCAAAACCAGATTCTCATTCTTCTACAGAGAGAGAGAAAGCATGCAACTAAGGATAAAAATGCTGCTTCCGATCTTTTGCTTGTTTCAAATAAAAAGGTGAGAGATTAAAAATCTGAAAATGTTGAGAGTTTAGCTAATTTTTAAAAATCTTGAAGGTATTCAATAAAGATAAGGAAGTGTTTGAGATGAGCAGTTAGTCTTGACTGCAAAGGGCATTAATGATTTGGGAGTAAGATGCTGGGGACATTTTGCGGCTGAAGAAGCACAAAATCCAATCCAGTTCTTGGCAGAAAACATTTTGGAACTCTTACTGGTGTAGTCATCCTTCAACACTGCCAAGAAGGAGACCTGTATTGATTGCCTTGTCTCTCTCTCGCAAATACGATGAGTAGCTCAGTGGTCCATGCCTGAGAAAAGTTTACTCCTGACAGTTTTCTGGTCTCTGTGTCTCTGTGAAAACAGGGAATGACTCCACGAGCCCTGGAAACCTCTGCTGAGGGGCTGAACCGAATTCAGCAGGAGAACCAGGGCCTGAATTCCTCCTCCTAGAACTTAAAGGAAAGCAACACTAGACAGACAATTGAGTAGTACTGATATTCAGAGGAAGACAGAGGGGTTTACCACAAAGACCTGTGGACAAAATACAAACACACGCGTGCACACACACACACACACACACACTCACGATCTGTTCAATTCCAAGGACTGGTTCTCAAAAAAAAGCCAAAGGATTTAGCATTTGTCACAACTATAGGCTAACTTCATTCCAATGGTATTCCAGTCCTACAGTTACAAGTCACTAAATTAGTTTCCTTCACATTTAAAAGCGGCCCACTCTGCCATGACAGTTTATTAACTTTAATGCACTCCACACTCTCCCACTTTGATGTTTTATTTGCTCTCTGAAATATCTCTTGGTTCCTCTATTTTATCTCACACAATATATTGTATTTTGCTATGCAATGGCTAGTTGTGACACCCAAAGAATAGCATCTGGTTTTACAGAGCATCTCATTTATACTCAGGATACAGCAAAGCACTTTACAAAGCCATACATTATGGGAGATACCAGGAACAGAGGGGCTGTGAGACAAACAAAGAGGCTACTTTGAATACAAACTTAATTTCAGACATTAAAACGGAATTCACTGAGAGAAAGCATGTAGCCCAAGATAAGCAGAGTGGCTTTGCTCCCTTCCTCAGAGAGATCATGGTAGGTCTTGACTCACCAGCTCTAGGGAAGTCTTGCTCCCACCATCCCATTCACTGTACTTAACCTCCCCTGTAGAATTGAGCATAGCTTCCTTTGGGCTCTCACCATAGCCTGAATGTGTTTAACTAGATACACATAATCTCTTATTATCAATATATGATAATGTGTCCACATACTTTAGCTGATTACCTCCTGGTGAGGAGGGACTTTTTCAGTTCAGTAAGCATTTATTGAGCACTTACAACCTAGTAATTTTTTTTTTTTCTTTTTTTGGTGATGAGGATCCAACAGATACAGATGCTATCCTTCAGGACCATGGTCTAGCAGACTATACAGACATAGACACATAGAGAAAATGTTGCCTCATTTTTATAACATTCTTGAGCTCTAATAGTGCCTCATCTGCAATAAGGAAGGACTCAATAAATGGGGCCAATATTGAGTTTCTACCTTTAGGATGAACCATATAAAATTGTCAGTATTTGACCATTTTTGACCTATAATAGTTCAACCTGCTGTGCGCCAGAAACTATTATTGCCAGGTAATTTTCAGGCATTATTAGACACTCACAAAAACATTGTAAGTCATACTTTCCCTTTATTAGAAATGAGAAAACTGAGGGTTAAGTACATGACCAAGATTACACAGCTAATAAGGGATGGCACCAATTTTCAAACCCAAGTTTGTCTGGCTCCAAAGCCCTTGCTGTTTCCCTTCTGGGGCTCCCAGTATAATATGAGTGCTGAGTGAGTGAATGAATGAATGAAATTATCAACCAAAACCAAGTTGTGTTTTAATACTAGTTCTGCATTAACATAGTGCCTGAGGCTGGGCCAGTCACCAAATCACCATCTCTATGCTATCGTCGGTGAAATCAGGATAATATACCTAACCTACATACCCGAAAGGTTTTTGTGAAGATCAAATGAAAATATGTATATGGAAGTGCTTTGAAAAATCTAAAATACTCACAGATGCAAAGGATATTACATTTAAGCTTCTATAGAAGCTGTTCAAGGAGCCTAGCTATTTATGATAGCACAAAGTGAGCATGTGGGAGGTGAGGGTGAAAAAATGGCAGACAGAGGCTGAGAAGAATGTTAAGAGGAACCTCGTAGGGGGCAAGAGGTATTAGTTCCCTGAGCAATGTAACTCCCTGAAAAAGATGTCACATAATGGCCTCAGGGTAGCAGCGACCTCCACTGACAGCTTACTAGTCACGTAGATGAATTCAAGAGTCATTCAGGCCAGGGCTAGTATTGGGAATACGTGGAGCTCAGCATATCCAAATCATGCCAAGAACTCAGGAACCAGGGTGCACAAGCAGTACTAGCAACAAAGCAGGAAAATTCGAGAGCTGACTGTTCACTTATTTGGCTCTTTGCATCCTTGAAGCTTGGCCTGAGTGATCCCTAGATCCATAGTGAACAGAAAGCCACAGGAGCTTATCTTCATGCTGGTAAATGGTACAGGATAACTACAGCAGGAAACAGTCTACACTTCACATAAAGCAGACTCTAAGGCAGGCGTCCCCAAACTTTTTACACAGAGGGCCAGTTCACTGTCCCTCAGACCGTTGGAGGGCCGCCACATACTGTGCTCCTCTCACTGACCACCAATGAAAGAGGTGCCCCTTCCTGAAGTGCGGTGGGGGCGGATAAATGGCCTCAGGGGGCCGCATGCGGCCCGCCTGCGAGCCACAGTTTGGGGACGCCTGCTCTAAGGGAAGACACATCTGGGTGAGAAGCCAGGCCAACCCTGTCTTTAGAAAACTGAGTCCTGGGACAACCCCAACTGGAAGGATAAATGTGACTTAATAATTAAGTCAAAAATATTCCAAGCACCATCTTTTAATGCAGTCAGGATGTTGTTTGGAGCGATTCAATTAAGGAGACTATGACTGGAATATGACAGACAGTGAGTGAAATTAAGATTAAAATGCCAGAACTATGCGTCAGGTCCAGTTTCCCAAGCTACCAGTGAAGACACAAAGTCAGGGAACATATAGAGAGAGGGGAAACAAGAATTCTCTCATACAATGAAAGTCAAGAGAAGTAAATGAGTATCACCTTTTTGGAGGTCAAAGTGGTAGTATCTATCAAAATTTTAATATAAGACAAAATAAAATTCAAAGGCAAAAACATCAAAAGGGACATTAAGTGGTATGACATACTGGTGCCAGGAAGATGCAATCA